ATGAATCTTCTAATGATACTTTCATTTCTTCCACAGACTCAAGGTATAATGCCCATGCCTCTAGTAATTAGTAGTCCCAAGATTAGCAGAATCACTAGAGAGTGGCTCCTGGTTTATTATTGGCAGGAATTATATTTATTTTTCAAGCAAGTCAGGTCACTGGAAAGTACAAAACCTGGCTTGTGGAAAATTTGAAATAGGTTGCAGTTCTTCTGCCACATATGACATTTCAGTCTGTAAATATCACATGACATTCAGAAAATATGGGTAGCACTCACCTCATTGAGGAATGCATTACTGAGCATGAAATGCCAATAACTATATCCCAAGAGAATGTTTAAACAATTTCAGACAACATCACAGGGAAGAAATGCCAAGATTTGTGGAACGTGTTTGTCCGTTGATCTTTGCCTGCATTCAGGGCCCTAGAAAGGTATTAAGCAGAATTTCTCCAGTGGCAGAGATCCCTATTTGGACCTATTATGCTAAAAGAAAATTTTAAGTCAACCAAAAAAATATAATACTTGTTCTTTTACACAATGATGTTTATTCTTAAAGGGACATATGATTTGGAGCTTTTTTCTAGTGCTGGTAATGAAGTTGCACTTATTCATATATATTCATAATTAGTTATATGAGCCTTACTTTTTAAAATCATTATATTTTAGTAACCAATGAAACTTTCATATAGAAAGTTGGAAAAACTTTAAAAATTAAGCTTAAAAAAGAAAACTAAAATCATCCATGATATTATCACTCAGATATTTATTATTAATATTTTTAATATTCTCATCTTTTTGTCAAGCTTATGGAAAAATATGCACATTTTTAAATGGTATTATACTGCATATATTTTTCATTATATTTTCATGTCACTTAATATTCTTTTAATATTTTTAGACTGCATGTATTCTATTATATGGTCATAGCTTATTTAATTTGAATTTTAGACGTTTATGTTATTTGCAATTACATATATCCTCACATATATCTCTGATTATCTTTTTAGGATAAATTCCCAGAAGTAGATCATTAGATCAAGGAATAATCAAATTTTAAAGATTTTTTAAAAATACATGTTGCTATATATTGCCATATGTATGAAGGGACACATTTCCCAGGAGCTTCACTAACACTGCCAACGTCTCTCTTAATGTGGCCAACTCTTCCTAAAATAATCAAATGAGAGTTATATTTGGGTATGCTTTACTGTTGTTAGGCCTTAGTCACATCTCAGGATGTCATGTGGTTAGTCTCTTAGCAATTTCTCTTCCAATTTCTTCCTAAACTTCATGTAAGAGTAGTGAATAAAAAGATCCATTCCTTTCCATTAATGTGTAAAAATGTTCTTCCTAACAGTTTCACATATTAATACAAGTATATAATTTTTCTTTTGGGCTGTACAGATGTAACTAATGTTTGTTCTCCTATTCCTGAAGGAGTCTGAAAAAAAATAATACATCCTTCTTTTTTATTACCTTCAGATTTGTTTTTCTCTCACCCTTTTGACAGAGGAAACAAATTTTATTTTTTTTATTTTTTTTAAAGATTTTATTTATTTATTTGAGAGAGAGAGAAAGTGAGAGAGAGCATGAGAGGGGAGAGGGTCAGAGGGAGAAGCAGCATCCCCACTGAGCAGGGAGCCCGATGTGGGACTCGATCCCGGGACTCCAGGATCATGACCTGGGCCGAAGGCAGTCGCTTAACCAACTGAGCCACCCAGGCACCCCACAGAGGAAACAAATTTTAAAAACCTGGACTTACATAAATGGTATTTTTGAGTTAAATCTATTGCTACCAATATAAATTATTTCAGAGCGCAGCAAGAAATAAAATGGGCTCAATAGTATGATTTTTCTCATTATTATCATCACGATCAATCCCTTTTTATTAGTGACCTAATATGTACAGAGCATGGTGCTAAATCCTAAGAATTAAAAAAAAAAGATAGAACAATTCTTCAGTTGATTTATTCACTAGTTGAAGAATGATATATATAAAAAATGATAAATTCTAATAAACACTAGCATATCTTAATTGCCCAATGGAGTCAGCCAGTCAATGCCCTTGGAGTTCAGAGACGTGATTAGTAAAGATTGGGATAGTCACCTTTAAGAGGATTCGATTCACAGGCGCCTGGGTGGTGCAGTTGGTTGAGCGACTGCCTTCGGCTCAGGTCATGATTTCGGAATCCTAGGATCGAGTCCCGCATCGGGTCCCTGCTTAGCGGGGAGTCTGCTTCTCCCTCTGACCCTCTTCCCTCTCGTGCTGTCTCTCTCTCTCTCAAAAAAATAAATAAAATCTTTAAAAAACAAAAGAGGATTTGATCCACATTTTGAAGTAAGACTGGAAATTTAACAAGAAAAGAGAAGTTCTTCCAAGTGGGGGTAACAGAGCTCACAAAGGTGAGAATGCACATGACATTTTCAGAAGAAAATAACCAGTAAGCCAAAGCAGTTTATTCAGTATTACGCTAAGAGAAAAATCTGGTGTTCATGTAGCCTTGGCTATCTAGATAAACAGTATGGGCCTAAGAGAGGTACATTGGAAATAGAAAACCATTTCATGTTTTATGAGAAATGAATTTAGAAATAATTTAGGGAAATTTGTAAGGTATTACTATGAAAAATGTTAGTACCAGCATGAGATAATTATGGCCTAGACTAGCTAGTTGCAGAAGAAACTAAAAACAGGCATAATGCTAGAGTACCATTAGGATGAAAAAAACTAACTGAACTTGGCAACTGATTAGATATAAAGATAAGAGACTACTAAGAACTTATTATTCAGCTGTGCTTGTATCAGGGATTCATAATGAATGAGCCTGCCTTCAACCAAGTACATAATATAGAATCCCACTGAGAAGGCTGAGATAAATTCTACAGGGGGCTACCAAGTAGCTGGAACAGCTTCCCAAGTAAATTGGTCCTTGAGTTTTGACTTCAAAGATGAATTGAATTTTGCCAGATGGGAAAGGGGGGGACAGATCAATGAAGAGGGCAAAAGAGGGGGAAAATATGACTCAAAATTTTAGACCTACATTATTGGAGAAATATAATAACACAGACCAAAAGAGGAAAGTCTAGCAGTAGAGATGTTTTAGGTGGAAAGATAATTCAGTTTAGACATTCTGCAAACATATGTGTAGAGCATATTCACAAATCTGGAGGCATCTGGGACACATCCATGAACAAAACAGGCAAAAATTTTCTGCTTTCATGGAGTTTACATTCTAGTATTTGGAAATAAATACATAATTAGAGGTATAGTGTTCACCAAAGAGTTTTGTTTTATTGTGATGTTTGTTTCTATTTTCTTTCTCTGTTGTCATTCATATCAATAAGATAAAATAAGCACAAAATAAAACATGGGTGACTAGTATCCGACTTAAGTCATCACTTAGGCAGGAAAATGTTCCAAGTAACTATTCCCTCTAAGACTTGAAACTGTCCTCAAACTGACCTTGATGTCTACAGGCTTCAGATAAATGGCTTAGTAATTGAGAGCAATAAATTAGAATCAATCACATTTAGTTAGGAGAAAGTAGTCTCTGCGCTAAAACAAGTTGACCTTCTTCTAGCTTTGCATTTTTATTGCACCCTTTCTGCTCTCCACCTGTGCTTGATGCTATGCTGGGATCTTCTGATTTTAGCGGTACTTCAGGAGATGTGTCTGGACTGTAGTTTTCTTACCAGGTCTTACTGCTAGATTGTTCAAGGGAGAAAATTATTGGAAAAGTATTCACTGGTCAGAAATAAGGGTTTTGAGTGACTAACCAAGGAAGTGAAATTTTTGTTGCAATTAAAATGCTCAGTTTAATTTAAAAAATATGTAAAACATTACATTTAAGCATTACATTTCAAACTGCTATCAAAGACAGTTGAGAGATACTGAGTAATACCAGTTTTCCTTTTCACTGTAACTGCATAGAATTCATTTCACCCTTCAGTAACCTGATATGCTGAAGAGACTGGACATTAAAGACTTTAAAGTTTCCTGACCTCCTTAGTATTAAGAGAGCTCTCACCTGATTGGTTAAAAGCATTCAGTTTGTTTCCATGCAAAAGGATTTTTGACTTTTGTTTATTTATTTCCTTGTTTTTTAATCAGTTTCAGTTACTATAAGTAGTTCCTTCAAGTTTTAAATTATGCATATCAACATTTTCTGAAAACTTGTTTATTTAAAATTAATTGTTCTTACAAAAGCCCCAGTTATATCTAATAATGTCAAAGCAGTATGTCAAAAGCATGTCAAAACGGTGTGGTGCTGAAAGTTATCTCTAGGCACTTCCCAGGAGCTTGGAGATAATTGAATCTAATTCTTCTGGTGGAACAAGATGATGGCAGCCTGAAGAGCCCATTTGAGAATTAATTGTTTTGGGGATAGATATTCAAATGCTAAATACTTTCATAAATTTAGTTCAGTAACAAACATTTATTAAATGTCTAATGGGTGCTAAATCTTAAAACAGACATATGCAATCCAAAAATGAATAAGGCACAATTACCCTCAAGACCTTCATATCCTGGTAAGATTTAGTTTTATTAAATTATTTTTTTGTTAGATTTCTGGTTTTTCATTACGATCTGTCCAAAACGCCTTTAAATATATTATATCCTACTTTTAATCATATAAACCATCAGGTCTCTAGCTGGTAATAATTTACTTAACAAATGCACGGCTAAATAATAAGCCAAGATTTCCATACACTTTAGAAAAGATTTTAGATATCCTACAATCCTTTATCGACAAGCTCGTAATTTCTGACTTAAACCCAAGTTTCCAAAATCGAGTTGAAAAGACTTTTTATTGCAGTCCACATGAGAGTACAGAATGTGGAAAAATAATAATTTGGTGCTAATAATCATCTTAATTGATAGTGAGATTATGATTTGATCTTCTGTGCCAGGGATGGAATTCATTCTCTCTTCTCCCTGACATTTCTCATGGATTACTCCATACCATTAATCGCTTAATAGATATAATTATTTTGTATTAGTTTTCCAGATCAAGAAATTCGTAAAGTGGCAGTTCAACAATTAGACAACCTCTTGAATGATGAACTACTGGAACATCTCCCACAGCTAGTTCAGGTAAGAACAGCAGAGTTTCCAAAGGATTCTAGAATTTTAACTTAATAATCCTTTAAAAAGAGTTTCCAATAGTCAACAGTAGGCTACCTAAAGTGGTACCGTAATTTGGCAAGCCAGGGACTAAATTATAGCTCATGTGTCAACTTGGGTAACATAGACATTCTTTAGCCCAAACTGGTAGTTACAAAAAAGGTCTCTAAGAGCCAAAGGGGACATTTTTTTAAATTATTATTATTTAGAATTGGGGGAAAAAATAGAAATGCTGGTGATAAAATCTTTTCACCTAACTATGTAGAACAATTAAAGTTAAATTAATGTTATTTAGAAAATAGTCTTTTGCTAGGCAGCTCCTCATAATATATGTGTTTCTTGCCTTTCCCTTAGAACATTCTAACATTGATTATAAATCTATAAAAGAGGTTTTGTAAGATAATACCTGAATTCTGCCAACAGATACTGCATTTTAGCCACAACATTAAATATCACAATAATGTGGCCAAATAAATAAAATATAGATATATGAGCAAACACTGATTTAGTCTGAATATTTTGAAACATAAACAGCCATACACCTTGCAAATGACCATGTAAATGATTGAATATCCAAACTACAAATAATATTGTTTTCCCAAATTGACTATGTAATGAGGACTGAATAGGTAGTTCTAATAGAGTGGTCTTTATGTTTTTCGTTTTTTGTTTTGTTTTTTAACTCCGATGTTTTCTTACCTGAAAGGTCAGGTTGTAATTACAAGCTATTTTAAATGCCAGGTGCCTCAGTTTTTGAACTGAGAACTTTTTTAAAAAAGTTTCTGTTTATTTGAGAGAGAGAGAAAGAGCACAAGAGGGGTGGAGGGGGAAGGAGCAGATGGAGAAGCAGACTCCCCACTGAGCACAGAGCCTGATGTGGGGCTCGGATCCATGACATGAGCTGAAGTCAGACACTTAACCTCTTAACCAACTGAGCTACCCAAGTGCCCCTAGGACAGAGAACTTTGAGGCTAATGGGGGAAACCCCTATCAGTGACTGGAATACCATATTGCTTTGCACATGGAATATGCATTTCTCCAAAGGACTCCTAAAGCGAAAGCTGGTTCAGAAATAGCTATACCATATAGTTACTCTTACCAGTTTTTATAGTTGTGATTTTTCTGTACTTATCAGGATAGTGTAGTGAAAATAAAAATTAATCAGACTTGTAGGAACACTATTCATCTCATGATTCATGAGTATTGGCAGCATGCTCTAGCTAACCTAAATCAAAAAAGTAAGTTTTTACAAAATTTTATATATACTAAGCCCATTTGAAAACAGCAGTCTGGAATAAATAAGCAATACACTTGGCACCAGGAAAATCGCTGAGAGCCATATATCTGCAAATCCAAATTCATATGACAAGGTGTACACAAAATCCAACAAAGCAAATACACAGAAGTAAAATTAGGAAGTGTTGCAACGACTCCCTAATTAAAAATGAAGATTATAAAATGTTTTGAGATGGAGAGAAATGACTCAAAAATAAATAAAACTGAGAAGAATTTTCAAAACATTTATTATAGAATTTTCCCTTAAACTTCTATGTTCTTCCCAACTTTAAAACTTTAAACACATAAAAACTTTTGAAATGCAAAAAATCCTACCCTATTGATTATTTTCTTGAAATATGTTATTTTGTTATGTATTATATTATTAGAATTATGCAGGATGTATTAAAGAAATAAGACAGGACTCTAAGACCATAACAAAAACAGAACATATTGTTCATAGCCAGAAAGCAATTAAGACACAGACCCAGAGGTTATGGCAAACCACAAGTCAACACTGTGTGGGTGGGTTCCAAGAACAGTTCATAATAATGCAGTGTACACCAGAAATATTGCCTGCCTACTAGATGGTGAGGTAGGACTTAGGGGGAAATTATGCCAGTGCACAGAGTGATGTAGGGAGTTTGGAAAGAAGTGAAGCAATTTAAGAGCAACAAGTAGTTAATCAAGAAGAAATAATGGGGAAATCTAAAAAGAAAGCTAAAAAGACAAGCATGGAAGTAAATTCTAAGACATCTCTCTCTTGCTTATGTGCTCATATGATATGCTATTAGGGCATCAACCCAACTTATGACCTGGTCAGCCCAGTATTAGCAAGTAAGTGAAAGCAAGCCATGGCTGCAACTTAAGAGAATATACATTATGGTCTTTATACATTCAGACAGCATTAAGAGTTTATGCAAATTTGCTGAAATCATCTTTGGCACTCTTATACCTTAGGAATTCATAAACTTTCCCATCCTTGAGTATGGTCAGCATATTGAAGTATTTCTTCAGGTGTGTATGTGAATGCGTGTTGTGCCCACTTTTGTCTGTTGTCTGTACTGTGGTATAAAACCTGGCTTAAACTCCGTGTGTGTGCGTGCGTGTGTGTGTATGTGTGTATGTGTGTGACTTAAATGGCTATTGAGCAAATAAATAGAAGTTTTGCCTCTTAAACAGGGATGGAAATTTTTATGAAGAGAGCCTGGTTTTCATTTTCATATATATTTATATTTCTGGGATGATAATGGGGCCCAGGTACTTCCTGAGGACAGTGAAGCCCCTGCAGAGTACCTAATCTGAATTAGGTCCATGAGGATATCAGGAGCTGCCATTACTGTCTGTATGTTCCACCAGGTTAGGTATCCTAGAAAATCCTAAAGAGCTGTTCAGAGACAATGAGGGAAAGGATTTGGGGAGGGGTGAGCTAGGCTGGCACCAATCAGCTCTGAAACCTCTAAGTAAAGTTTCAGATTCTGCAGGGTAATAGTGATGTATCAGTTGGTGATTTCAGTTAAGGCTTTGAATGTGCATTAATTTCATTCCACAAAGAAAAGAAGTATCTACTATTTAATAATGCCATTTTTATATCTAGGACACTAATCATACTATGTATTTTTGTGTGTGCCAGGATTCTCCTCCTAGGCATGGTTGAACTCCACCAACCATCTGCCCTTATTTATTATCCTGTGATACTAAAGCATAAATAAGAAAAAGACTAACAAATCCAAATTGTGATGTGTGTGCTATGTTATTATACACCAGCTAATAAGGTTATCTTATAATAATATATCAAATATAATCAAATATCAAATATAATTTTAACATTTTGTTAAAATGTTTATGCTGTTTTCCTTTGTCTTTTCATAAGCCTCTTAAGTCCCTTTGTATTTTGCTAGAATTTTGTTACTAAGAAGAGTAAATTAATTATATCTCTTACTTCAGGCTGTCAAGTTTGAATGGAACCTTGAAAGTCCTCTGGTACAATTCCTATTGCACCGTTCATTGCAAAGCATCCAGATAGCCCATCGTCTTTACTGGTAAGATTAACTAAAATAGGATAGGATGTCTTTTTTTGTTGTCAACTTCTCTCTGTGGGACAGCATTAGAAGAAGTAGAAGATTTCTTACCTTGTAATTGATATAAACCTCCAATTAAAGTTCAGCCAAAATCAAGTCTTTGTCAAGGTTATTTTTATTGATGAGTATAATTTAACTGTCATCATCTTCAAAATCTTCCTTTTGTACAGTGGCTGCTGTTTAAATCTAATCAGAATTTTAAATTTGGATGATATCTTTCCTATAGCTTTATTATTTTTTTTAAGAGAGAGGGAGCGAGTGCATGCACTCACATATGTATGGCAGACAACATCTACTAGCTTTAATTGCTAGGGAAGAACTTTAATTAATAGGGAAAAAGAGAATCTCATTTTTTAGTATGTTTTTCCCCTTAAAGAAATGTAACTCATGTTGACATCACTCTTCCCACGAAAATAACTCAAGCATTTCATAGCAAAGTAGAGATACAAGGAATTGTTAGCCACCAATGTTTATTTTGATGTTCATTTTCTTCTCAAATGTCTAATATAAAAAGCAGAACATTTTCCTCTTCTATGTCAGTATAGGGAGGCATCACACACATGACTAGCCCTGGGCCCTTCACTGAATGGACTCTTTCACCAAGCTTTGAATGAAGTCTTATTCTCCCCAGTTTTTCAATCAGCTACTACCTTGCTAAGGGAACTTAAGTGGATACATTTTGTGGTCTTTTGCTCTCACAGTAAAACTAGGACTAAATTACCAGGGCCCAGCTGTGCACATGCAGACTTGTGACAGAAGGGGGCAGAAGAGGGCTGCTTGAACTTTCAAACTTGATGCCAAACCAGAGATGGCAAGGCTAAAGCAATTTCAGGAGATTGACCCAATCAGGTATTAGGCAATTGATATCACTGGTGAAATCAAAACTGGATAGGAGAGAGAATATGAGAAGTCAGGGACTAACCTAAATCAGGAATTAGGGCCCCAAAGAACAATTTGTTGCGGTAGTGTCTGCTGGTCCTGAATGACTTAAGGCAATGGTATTTCGGACACCACAAGGCCTTTCCAAGGTGGCAATGGCATTAAAGGACCAAATCCTATGAGCTTTAAGATACCACTCATAAAATTGAGATGATGCAAAATCTTCCCATTCATTTTCTGAACGCTCTGTCCTAAACTTTTCTTATCTAGAATTTTGGGGCAATTTCTCAAATCAAGGACTACTGTAAATAAAGCAACATAATGTGGAAATTTTGCGTCTTGTGATTGAAGTCACACCTGTCCCTCTCATCCTTTCTTTCTTTTTTTTTTTTTTGAAAGAGAACTTTTTATTACTTTTATGTACAGAAAATTCAACAGTGTCCACTCAGCCTAGTTTGGTGGCCCTTTAGTTTTTGCCTTTTCCAGTTTGGCGACGCAAGCCATCGACTTTGGATGCAGGACGTTGCTTCCCTAGTGGCAGGGGATCTCATCATATCTGTCATTGTAATTGGTCCTAATGGCTGCCACCAGCTTAGCCAGAGCTGCTTTGTCTTCCCAGTTAACCTGTGTGAAGACGACAGTGGTGCAGGTCTCCCTGTGGCCCAGACCCGAAGCTGGCCTCCCTCTCATCCTTTCTCCTAAATATGGCTTACCTGATGCCTAAAATTCTATTATCAGTGAGTCACTACTTTAGGTTAAGCATTGTTCCCTCCCAGAATTTTTTTTCTAATGTGGAAATAGATATATTCAGAACATAATGCTTATGATGAATTAGATGATCATTTGTTCATTTATGTGACAAACCTTGAGATACTAGACACTGTTGAACTATTAAGGATAAAGCAGAATAGCCCTTTGCCTAAACAAGCTCACAAGCTAACAACAGCTAACAGCCAGGCAGCAGGGAAGATCCACTGGCTATATGAAGGGGAAAACTGACCACAAATCCTGTCCACTTTATGGTGATCCATCCCAAATACAACCACAAAATAGAGAGGCAAGGCTGGCCATCAAATAAATAAAAAAGCCTAAACATGCACTCCAATTCTGCCAGAGTTACATACCAATGAAGGCATACAAATGAATACACAGAGGAGGTCAATCCTTTCTCTACTTTGAGATCTGAAATATTCCCTGAAGAAAGAGTAAAGAGCTGTATTTCAAGTTATCACAGTGTAATAGAGCATGCATGATACAGAATCAATAGAAGGTTTTAAAGCCTCTCCTTTACCTTCTAGAATCATTACATTACTACTAACTCACCTTTTACCTTCACAATGTAATGAATAATAAATTATTGCTTCACTCTTTTGTAAAGGAAAGATATGTCTTGCTGTCATTTAATATTGATCTCTTATAATCATCTTTCACCTTATTGTTCTCAGAAAAGTACACAGGATAAAGACTCTGCAATAGCAATTTGCTAAGCTAACAATAGCTATTCTCTACCTCAACCAAACTGAAAAAAAGTCATGGATATTTTTAAGAAAGTTTACATTTTATGCAATAATCTGTAAAATTCATTAGCATAGTATTCTAGTTAAGGCACAATATAGGAACAGCTGGGGGGTTTTTTTGTTTGTTTTATTTCTATTTTATGTGATAAGGGTTGTATATAGTTCTTTTCATAAAAAGACTTTTAAAAACAGAATGCAATTTTAAACTAATTTTCTTATATCATTTGTGTTATTTATTTTATTAAATACATGAAAATAGAATCTTACAATTTTATACAAAGTTCTACCTCAAATCAATGCAAAAGCCAGGAACAAAGCTCCACCTTAAATTTATCCCCAATTTAAATTATGCCCTCTTCAAATTCTTCTATTTTGTTAAAAAAAAAAGTAAAGAGTTAAAAAAGTAAACATTTTGTGCATACATACTGACCTCAAATGTTGGAACTTGCATCAGATCTGGCCTGTGGGAACTGAACTTTCTAATCCACTCTCCAGCAATTTTTCATTATAACAGCCACATGCAATTAGATCACTGCTTGCTTAGATGGTAATCTGGTATTCCTATAATAGTATCAGTCTTCCTCTGTCATAGTTTATGCTGGGGATTTGGGGTAAGTCCTTGAAAAACAGCATTATATTGCTTAATTATCATTGTTTCTCAATCATACTACAGCTTTACTTTAGCCAACAAAATATATGGTCAACAAAAAGGAAATCTATTTTTCCTTAATATGACCTTAATATTAGTAATTATCTTTGTCTTCTAATAATATTTGAATTTGGCCTCTAAAATAAATAGACTAATAAATACTCATAGAGTTATAGGATTTGGGAGTCAAATGGAACCTTGCAAATGCTATAGCATTTTTTTTCTCACCCAGAAAGGGATTTCAACAAATTAAGTGACTCATCCAATGACAATCATCTAGCTAGCTAAAGAATTGAGATTAAAATTTTTTTTCATGGCATCTCATGCTCACTTCAGGTCTCTTTCCGATTCACCATCTACTTGTAAGAAAAGTACAACTTGAAGAATTCACAAAATGTTTGTTTTTCTATCAGTAATCAGGAACTCATTCAAGTAAACTAAAGTGGTGGCTTTTCCTTAACTTGAATGTAAAACTGAAGAAAAAACAATATCCCAAATTGAGATCTTTATATCTAATACTCAAAGTTTTTGCCATTAGGTGTCGGCATAATCCACAACTGCTGTCAATTATAATATTAATTAACAGATATGTGCAGGAAGCTCCCCAAAAATTGTATACTTGAAGGAATTTTGAGGGGAACAGTAGGTTTTTCACAGAATTTTTCTTTTGTAGTTCCTGATTCATACCTAAAACACTAAATTTGTTCTCTTAGTTCTACTATTAAACCATGAGTGAAAGAAAACAATTCCTGAGTTATTTATTTAGTAGACTCAGTTTGTACTTATCTTCTACTACTTATTATATAAAACCAAGACTTTATGTTGTATAAAACCAAGACTCAGTTTTCTCAAAAACATATTTAATTAAGCCAGCAATATGCTAATGAAATTCAAGTCAACCCATTTTATCAAGTTAAATGAGTTAGAAAATAAATTCCTGTAGTCCAGGCCAGAACTTGGCAATAATAAAATGTAAGCAAAATCCATCTTTAGTTTCCTTCTACGTAAAAACACCCAGTAAGCAATTGGATATAGAAACATAAAGAGCAGGAGAAAGATCTGGAATGGTAACAGAAAGGGAATGTATCAGCACATTGATATTACTTGCCAAGCTTCCACCTTATGGTTCATTCATCCCCCGAATTTGGAGTTCTCACCCAGATTCCTTGTACCTGGATCCAGATTTTGAAAAAGAAGACCAGAGCATCATGTCAAAAGTATTTTCAGGGTCCAGGTCTAGAAAGGGCACATACCTCTTTTGCCTACATTCCATAGGTCAAAAGTCAGTAACAAGACCCCACCTACATGCAAGGGAAAATAGGAAAGCAGACCAGTGTGTGTGTGTGTGTGTGTGTGTGTATATATATATATATATATATATATATGGAAGCAAAATACTGTTTGATCTGGTAAATCCAAAGCAGTGTCTGCCACAGAGGTAAAGCGATGTAGATGACTGAAGAAATTTGACCATCAAGTTGCCAAGAAAGAGGACATGGAAGGAAAACCAGTACTCAGTGTTACATATATTAATTGGCTTTCTTTTCAAAAACTAAGATTGATCTCAATAGACAAAAAAGACTATTCATTGCCTAACTACTTGAATAGAATCATCATTTTGGCAGACATCCTTTGAAAATGTCTTTTGTCTAACAATTCTGTAAGTATTTCCAAGAGATTTAACCTATGGGTATATTTTTAAACCATTTTACCTAGATGGCTCATTATTAACTTATTTACCTAGCTATGGTGGACAACCGGTATCTTGGCCCAAGAGGTCCAAAACTGAATTAAATATCCCTACCCTCCCCTTGTCTTTCAATCCTTGTGCTCACTATGTCCAAACCTCCTTTTTTATATGCAATATCCTGGTTAACAGCCACTACCAAGATATCCAACACAGAAAATCTGGGAGA